TTTGCTTCATAGTTCCATTTGAGCGGCTATATCTTTCAATTATTCGCTTCTTTTCTAGGTCTGCAGAATACTCATGTGGTGGTTGCGATGTTATTGTGTGTATTTATATAGTTTTTACATTGATTTGGTGGATTCCCTTATTTTACCAGTAAGAGGACTTGTTACTTATGAAAGGCTAGTAGTGGTCATTTCCATGTGTGTGTGATTTCATTATCGCTAATTATTCGTATGTGTCCTAACCTGTCTATTCATTTCCTGTACTGTGTAAATCTCTTTATCTCTATATTTAACTTTCCATGATTTTATTACGGCTATAGAGTCCTACAAGTCCTAAGCTGTCCTCACCTGTCTGTTCTTTCATAATTTTATGTAACATATTTTTCTCTGGATTTAACTTTCACGCATGAGAGATCTATTTATATGCAATTCTTCAATGGAACAAGAGCTTAGGGCTCACATTTTCTGATTCGTGTAGTTTGAAGTTATATGCAACATGCTAAGGACTGGAAGTAGCTTAATATTGTATGGGATATTTGAATTGAGGAGAAGTGGAAGTATATTCATCTTCTATAGTGTTTCCCGTGCACCCAGTGATTTATATCTTTATACTACTTTTATTGGGGGAATTCAAAACAGAGAACTTTGTCTTGCATCATTCATTTTGCTCTCACTTTTACGTAGTCAGAATGTACTTCCCCTAATAATTTATGCATTTTCACATTAATGGTGGTATAGGGATAGTTGAAGCGGCTACTAATATCTGACCTTTAGACCGTTGTTAGGTGATGAGGGAGAGCTTTCCTTTGTGAAGTATGGATATCATTAGTGCTTAATAAGGTATTTGCTATGTTGTTTGCTACAACTATTTGGGCTGTTTGGAGAGTGAAATCTCAGAATTCACCAAAACTGTAGGAGAGAGACTGTGGAGGTTGCCAGGACTGGTTTTCGAGATTATGGTGTGGATCACGTCTTAATGTTGCTTTGCCTTAGTTTAAGACTCATTTTTTGTCTTCCTTTGTTTCCTACTGTATTTGAAATGGTCCATTTCAGTCTTCTTTTTGAGTAGTAATAAGTGGGGGGGTGCCTTCAATTTTTCTTAATCTTTGGTCAAACATGGAAGACTAATTGTACTAAGAGGTAAGAGATGGAGAGGGCGACAAAAATAATATGGTTGAAATTATTAAAAATGACTTCAGAAAGTTTAATATTGTTGCAGTTGTTTGTTTGAGTTTATTGTTCTCATATTAAATGTTAAACCTTGGCGTGTTCAATTCATATATATATATATATATATATATTATTTTCTTTTAATTTTTAGATTCTTCTCTAGTTGACAAGATCTCTCATTGAAGACTTGGGATATGAATCCTTATGGCTGGCTCTCTATGGAATTGCCGTCTGTTTCCCCTTTCTCTCTTTTCCTAGGTTTAACTTACAAATATTGTTAGCAAATGCTACACCCATATCTGCTTCTTCTGAGTTGCTTCTTACTTATACTGCAAATTTTCCTTTTGCGGAGTGAAATTTGCAATTGAGGCACTCAGTACTAAAGCTGTTTTTGCTTGTCCGGATCAGTTATGCTTGTCCGGATCAGTCACAAGCTGCCAAGCAACCAAAAACAACTGAATAAAACGGACCATTTGGTTGCATGGCGGATTTTGATTGGTCAGGATCACATGGTTTTGGACCATTTAATGTCATTTTTTTCGGTGCATGCAAATTTACGTGTAGGAGCTAAGTCGCATAAAGCGGTCATTTTTCTCGGTGCATGCAAATTTACGTGTAGGAGCTAAGTTACATAAAGCGGGAGCAAGAGTGGGAACGTGAAAGTGAAAGTGGCAAAATTAAGTTAGAAATAGTAAGGATTTGAGCAAGAGCACGCTTAAAGCGTGAGAGCGATACCTGTTAAAAATAATTGTGTGACTTGATGTAAGAGTTGTATAAAACAAACGAAACATCACAGAGTTATTAATCATATTCCAGTATCATTGCTCCAAATCATGTACAAGTTGGGTTTGTCTTTAATCTTGATTGAATGTGGGATCAAATTTGTGTAAAGGTCTTTTTGTTTGTCAATTCATTACTGTTTAAAAATATTTTGAAGTTATTTTCCTTGTCCGGCTAATTCTTTTACGAATAAAAATCCGCAAGTCATGACACACACCCTTCAATTGTAACATAGACTCTTGAATTGCAAATTTGCAAGTAAGTTTATTTTAGAATGTGAATACAAGTGGTATGTGTTTGTTTGAATTTTTGAAAAAGAAAAAAAAAAAATGAAATAGTCTTCAAATCAATAAACTATAATAATAAGTGTAAAGTGCACAAAAATAATTAAAAAAAATAAAATAATAAAAAAATCAAAAGAGTAGTGATACTCACACCTAGTGAATTACTTAACTGAATGACTTTTTATTAGTTATTTACGCTAAATACAAGAAAATGAAGGGCTTCACTCCCTTATTTGTTGCATAAATGACCCATTAAAAACAGTGATAAAATTAATTATAGAAGATGTAATTAATGCGTCTTTTCTTATTTTATTGGAATTATGAAATTTCAACTTATAGGACCAAATTACCCTTTTATATTATTTCCTCTTTCTTTCCTTTGTTTGTTGCATATATTATAACTTTATATGTTCACCTTGATGGATTTTTTATTGGGTTTTTTGTAATTTAATTGAAATAATGTTATGTTAATATGTGAAACAAGAGAAATATGGTTTTCTAATCTATTCACAATATGGTAAATTACTATATATGTGTGGGAACAAAGAAAAGGAAATAATTGAAAAAAAAAAAAAAGGCAAGAAACAATCAATTTACATAAGATTTTTTTTTTTTTTTTTTTCCTTTGTTTAATATGGATTTAGAGAATAGAGGGGAGAAACACAGAGAAACCGAGTATATAAATAGTTAAAAACAATTGAAAAAAATATAGAGAGAGGGGAAAGAATAAGGTATGTAAGCAAAGAAAAAATCAAAATTATACAAGTGTACATGTACAAGTAGGATAGAAAAGAAAGAATAAATATAAAAGGGTAATTTAGTCTTAAAAGTTGAAATTTCATAGTTTCAATAAAATAGGAAAAAATGCATTAATAACATCTATAATTTGATTTTTCAACCAATAAAAGGTGCAACTGTAAATTGACAGTCGCTTGCGCAACTGTGAATATCACTCCCCTTCACTGCAATTACTCTGTGCAAAAATTATTATTTTTTTTCAAAATTATGTTATACTTATTAATGACCTTGTAGCCTGATGGTACCCCATTTCTAAAGTAGTAGGTAGAGGGTTCAAGTTTTTACAGGGGCAAAAGTGAATGTGTTAGTGTGTTTTTTGTCTGAAAGAAAAAAATCTTATGTCCAAAATCCGAACTTGCAGATAATCATATTGAAGTATATTTTGTGCACAATATGCTCCATCAACTATCACATTTTGTTACAAAATGCTCCCATACCGGGGTTATTTTTTATTAAATGATTATAATATCATTTCTTATTAAATTACACTTAATCCATTTTTCTTATTAAAATAAATTAAGAAAAATATTCATACTAATTTGATGAGATATTTGTCATTAAATTTACATAAATTTACCTTTAATTCTTGAAAATTAATTATTTAAATTACAATCTTAAGCAGAATATTTTAACAGAATTTAAGTAAATTCTTAATTTGTCATGAATAAATTTCATGAAAAGAAGGTATTTTTTATTTAAGTGAGTTTCTTTTTTTTTTTTTTTTTTTTTTTTTTAACGGTAAAAATGTTTAAAATGAGTATAATAAGTTTTATTACAAGTAATAAAGTTTGAATAATAAGTTAATTATTTCAGAAAATGGTGGTTACAACTTTATTTATATATTTCCAATTTTATGATAAATTGATACATATAATAAAATTAAGATACATAGTATAATTAATATTTAGATAAGAGAAAAAATAAATAATATAATATAATAAGAAATGATAAATTTAAAAAGAAAGGCTAAAATAATATTTTAATCAATTTATCCTTAATTACAATAAATTACTAGTAATACTTCTAGAGTATTTTATTATTATTTTTTTTTGACACTACTCTTCTGATAAATAATAATAAAAAATGATAATAATAAAAATAAAAGAATTCTCCAAATCATAGGTGAAATCTAGTCCAATTTTACTAATAGATGCAGTCTAGGAATGGTCACGGATCGGATCAGATTATACATTAATTTTAATTCGATCCACTCCCCACGGATTAGACAAATCTTAATCCATCACCAATCTGTTATTTCACGGATCGGATCAAATTGAATCCGCAGATTGAATTTAATCTAAATTATCCATTATTATTATTATTATTATTTATAATTAATATTATTTATTTGTCTTTTAATCATAACCCAATAAATAAAATTTTAATTTATTTATATTAATTTATATATTTAAATAATTATTAATTAATACAATTTATTAAATTATTATTAACTAATTAAATTAATTAATATATTATTAATTATATCTGACTTTTTAACAGCCCATGAATTCTATGTTTTTTTTTGTCCGTCACCGATCCATTGCGTAGTATTCGGATTCGCACAGATCAAACCAAAATCTGATCGAATTCAAGGATTCAAAGAATATTTTGTGCACATTATGTGGACATGTCTGCAGCCCAAAAGAAGTTTACAATAGATGACCTACTTTTATGAGTCGTTTACTTCTCTCAATGTCTCGCATCATTAAACACACCCTCTTCAAAATCACACTCACTAGGGTTTTGCCTGAAACTCGTGGACGGGAGAGTGACATTCAAATTGCTCAACCCTATGGCGTTCAGATCCTGTAAGTCTATATCACCCATGTTCCATTTCATATACAACACTCTCATATATCATAGAATCAATCATAATAAACACACATTTGTTCATTTTGTCGAAACCCAATCAATAGCAGACAACTTAAATTTCACCGAGAAACAAGGTCTCACGATCTCTTAACTCACAAAGTCATGTGGGTTGTCTCTAAAATCTGCTATCTCGGCTTCTAAGAAGAAGGTCAACATTAAGAGCACAGAGAAACCGGACTCGGTTCTTGAGCTCCTGAGGTCGCATGGGTTCACTGAAAAACACATTTCACACCTAATTTCTAAAAGCCCAAATTTAATTTTGGCTGATCCAGAGACAAATTTGAGACCCAAAATTGAGTATTTTGAATCTTTGGGTCTTGTCGGACCTGACTTGCCTAGGATTCTCTGTTCATATAACATGTTAGATAGCAGTTTAGAAAACCGAATCAAACCCACATTAAATTTCCTTAAACAATACGTAAGAACCAATGAGAATTTAATTTATGCTCTTAAGCGATCAATCCATGCTGACCTGTGCAACGTTCAGAAAGTTATGGTGCCAAATATCAACACTTTGCTGGCTCATGATGTGCCTGAATCCCATATTGGAAAACTAATCATGTCGCAGCCTAGCGCACTAATGTCGAGTGTTGATGTGTTTGAAGAGGCTACAGATGCAGTTCAACAAATGGGTTTTGATCCCAAAAAAACAACATACTTATGGGGTATCCATTCAATGTTGATGAATGCCAAACTCAGCTGGGAAAAGAAGAAGGAAGCTTATATGAGCTTTGGTTGGTCTGAAAGCACATTTAATTCAGCATTTAAATTGGAACCGATGTGTATGCTTTCCTCACAGAAGAATATCAGGGAACTGATGGATTTCTTAGTGAACAAGGCGGAGTTAAGAGCATCTGAGATTGCTAAACACCCAAAACTTTTTCGATATAGTTTGGAAAGGAGACTCATTCCAAGATGTACAGTTCTGCAAATTCTGATGTCAAAGGGTTTGATTGGGAAGGATGTAGAGGTGGCTTGGGTGTTGAATTGTAACACACAGAATTTTGAGACCAGGTTTCTGACCAAGTATAAGAAGGTTGCTCATGAGGTAATCAAAGCGTGCAAGGGTGAGATAGGATTTCAAGGATTCAATACTAGAGTGTAGGACAATGTGGAATCAGAGAAGCGAGCAACATATGCTGGCAACAACAGAGGACTAACAATATGGTCTATTTGAGTTTCTATAAGGTATGCCATCTAAGAAGCAATCCTCGAAGCACTTCAATGAGGTTTTTTGGTGGCTGCGACAGTGTGAGAAGAGGTAAGTTGTCTTGTATATTTTGAAGGTCGCATCAGCTTTCTTTGTCGACTTTGTCACATCTTGGAAATTTTCATTATTATGTTTCTCATCTGTAATGTTATGAAATATGCTCTAATTTTTAAATTTTGACAACCGGCAGATTTCCTTCATATTTCCATTTGGGTGTCTGTATCTTTCAATTATTAGTTCTTTTTAGTTTTGCAGAATACTAATGTGGTGATTGTGATGGTTGGTGTGTGTATTTATAATTTTATATAGTATTTACACTGGCTTGGTCGATTGCCTTGTTTTACTATTAAGATGACTTATTATTTTTGTAGGGCTAGTGGTCATTTCCATGTGTGTTTGATTTCTTTATTGCTAATTAGTCCTGTGTCCTTACCTGTCTATTCATTCAAATATTATGTGAAACCTTTGTCTCTAGATTTAACTTTTTGTGATTTTAATATGGCTACAAAGTCCTAGGTGTCCTAACCTATCTGTTCTTTCATATATTATTTAAAACATGTTTATGTGGATTTAACTTTCGTGTACGAGAGAGCTATTAATATGCAATTCTTTTATAGAAGAAGAGCTTAGTGTCACGAAGTGATTCCTAAGACGTTTGGAGGATGGAAGACACGCATGCTGGTTGGCGAAGAGTAGAGTTTAACTAGGAATGATTCCAGGGAAGGGGCGTGCAGGAGCACAAGATGGAACCTCTTCAGAGTTCAGGTAGGTCAACTCGGTTGAGTGCGAGGAGCTTGTCGCTGGTCGCTGGTCGTGGACTTGACTATGAAGAAGGGAGTTGGCCATCCCTGCACAAACTGGTCGGGAGCTGGAGCCATTCCCCTGACGAGGCCATGGCAGGCCGAAACCAGTCAGCATGTATCCTTGGAAGGGCAGGTAGTGGTGGCTGACCAGGGCGCTTGCGCGAGCTGAAGTAACGCCTTGGAGCTGCACGGGCCGTGCCGCTGCGCCAAATCTCTAGGCCCGTGACATTAGGCTCACATTTTCTGATTAGTATATTTTGAAGTATATGCAGCATGCTACCGACCAGAAATAGTGTAATTGAGTATGGGATATTTGAATTTAGGAGAAGTGGAAAACAGTCTCATGGATCATTTAGGATTTGCAGCATGCTACTTACCAGAAATAGCTTTATTTTATATTCTAAATGTCTTACCTGGTGTATCTCCCCATTTACACATGCTTGGACCCTTACTAGTTGAAGCTTTTGCCATTACACTAACTCACCAGTTCCTTTGGGTACACTCATTATATTTGGCTGGGAAGAAAATTTAGTTATGGTGATTTATGTTATTCTTGTAGTAATATTCTCAGATTTTCCAGTCACAAATGGTATAGAATGGTAATAAGGACAAGATAACAGTTTTTCTAGAAGTATATGTGTGCATGACTAAATACATTGACAGAAAAAAAAAAAATTTCTTCTTTTTTGGAGTTTTTGTTAAGGGTTAATCAGGACGAGTTATCCCATTATGTTATTTGCTATCTTCCTTGTTCACTTGGGTCAAAACAAGTTAAAGAAGGATGTTTGTTTGGACAAGTTGAACAAATAACATGCCTTTATTTACATAACAACATTCCAGAATATGTTTTGAGTGATGAGATTTCTAATTATACTCGAGCAATGTGTAATATGTCTTAGGTTCTATAGAGGTTACAAATAGATTCAGATGCAAAAAATAATAATAATAATAATAATAAAATAAAATAAAATAAAGATTGATTTGAGTAATTCTGGTCCAGAGTTTATTTTGGTGTCATTGATCGTTCTTCATCTACTATGTAGTCAGATGTAAATTTATGTTGGGCAATTTCTGAAATGTTGAGGTTATTCGTTATTGGCTTCTATTTCAAAGGAGACATGTTGTCCTTGACATGAGGAAGCTTTGGCGCTTAGACCTGTTTTGGAAAGGCTACTCTCTCAAGGAATTTTCTATTGCTCACTGTAAATGATCTCCTTGCACTTCTGTCCTATTTTTTATGTTTTTGATTGAAAGAATAGTGATATAGGTCCTGTTATCATATTTCTAGCTGGTATGAAGTTGATTAATAGGCTTGCACTAGATCTAATGTTTAGGAGGCTTGTGTTAGATGTAAAATGGGCCTGAAATACAGGATCAATACCGTCCATATTTGATTCAGTGTTAAAGGTAAATGCTGATAAGCATGAGAATATGTGATCTAGTCCAAGAGTAGTTACTTTGTGCAAATTCATTTTTTATGAATCATATATATATATATATATATATATATATATATATATATATATAAAATTTCTGGGTTCATTGAAGCGATCGTTAGGAAAGCTATTCGGTGATTTTAACTTCTATATTTTCTCCTCGGATGCGTAGTGGTACGAGAATCAACTTGTCTAGAGAGAGCACAATTTATTCTGATTGGTTTGATGTCTTCACTGGACCAGAGCATCGAGAATTCTGCCATCCTTATAAGACAATGACAATGTGGATGGATTCAGTCACAGAGCTCCCATTGATAATATATCGGACCAAAGTCAATAGTGTGTCACCCTAGCAATAATCTCAGAGAGCAATCAGTGTGCAGATGTCATCGCCAAGATAGGTGAAGGTTAATGTCAAGGACTCATTTTGAAGCAATATGGATGGTATCTTTGAAGTAATCGGTGTTCCACTTCCATAATGCGTGCATAAATTTGTTGCAACATAAAATCAATATTATGGTGTATTTTCAACATTATCTATATATATATATGTTTGTGTGCGCGTTTATGTGCGTCTCTGTCCAATTTTGCAACCATTATTCAATGTTATGCAATGATAAAAATCAGGTTGACAAACTTCATTTTTTTCTCTCCTAGCATCTTAAGCAGGTGGGATTGACGGTAGGTAACAGTTTCTATATATTTATTTCGAGTTTTGCTTTGCGTAATGGTTTTCATGATACATTTTTTGTTGAATCTTATACATGACTGGATGAATACAGCTAAATTGGGTGGATTATCTTGGTTTCCACTATAAGTTAACAATGCTACCTGTGTTCGCTTGCTCGGTTAGTAGGGTTGAAATTACAAAGATTGTTCATTAATGTTACATTCATAACAGGTTCTTCTGAGCTACTTTCTACTTCTTGTGTATATTTTTCTCTTTTATGGAAGGCAAAAGAGTATGGAAGGGGGCTACATTCAATTTCAGACCAACGATTTTGTTTATTATAAAGAAGGAGAAAGGGTATGGAAGGTAGCTAGAAACCAAACAAATCAAGCCATTAAAACGTTTCCAATTTTGTTTATTATAAAGGTGGAAAATGAGTAATTGGAGTAGTGTACCATGATTTGTAAGTAAGATAAATTGGTACGCGGTAAGAGCGGTAAGAACGGAGGTTGACATGCCATTAATAGTCGCGAGTTTGTTGAATAGTCAACAACCTTTTGTGACTTTGCGGAAGGAAAAGACCGAAGAACGAGAGAGAGTTCTCTTGATGTTGACAACAAACGTGATATGACAATAATCAATAATTAACGTGGGACAAAACTCTTCTTACAATAATAGACTAAATGAGAAGGGTTGATCAACTTATCTAATTATATATGTGTACACGTAGAGGTAGGATAGATAAGTTGATCTACCTTCCTCATTTTTTGGGTTTGTGTATTTGCTTGAAGAGAAACAAAAGAGAATAAAAAGGTAAAAAAATGGCAAAACTCAAAGTTCTTGCGAGAAAGCATATTTCTCTGAATATTCACCCATTGTTGTTTAGGGGAAAATTGACTTCTCTCACTGCTCACTCTTCTATCCATCATGCATAAAAATAATAATAATAATAATAATAAAATAAATTAAAAATAAATAAAAATTAGTAAATGTAATTTTGGATACTAAGAGGACTATATATCAATGTTTTTAAGTATTAGAATAATTTGAAATAAAAGTTTTTATTTTTATTTTTTTATTTATATTCAATTAAAATTAAGATATATATTTGTTCTTATTGACGCATCTTCGTGGATTTGGTTATTTTTTCATAATGTAAAAAAAACACTTTGTCTTCTACATGTGATTTGGCTTGCCTGAGTAAGAAATTGTAAGATTGGTTTTAATTTATCCACGTCCTATTGCAACACTCTTTTCTCTCAAAAGCAAAATTAAATGTCAATTAACTAAAAAGGTCATACATATCAATTATATCAATTTTTTTTTTTTTTTTTGTGTTAATATTAATTAGGAAACTTTAAATAAGGAGATTAGGTAAAATAGTGGATAAAATTTCTTATTCCACGGTGAGCAAAAGATCACAACTATATATATATAAAACACAAGAATATATATATATATGTGTGTGCCATGGAAAATAATAATAATAACCAAAAAAAAAAATTCTCCAAATCATAGGTGAATAATCATAATAAGAAAATTGCACACTGCAGGCTCCAAGCTCATACCTCTTTTTAAAGGGAGGAGAATACATTGGGCTTATGACCCATTGTTTGGTGCACATGAATTTGTTGCATTGGACATGTCTGCGGCCCAAACGATGACCCCGTTTATATGGACTCTTTATTGATATCAATCTGATGAGCTCACAACATTGAACAGGGTTTTCTGTATCACTCAGTAGGGTTTTCTCTGAAACTTGTGGAAGATCGAGCAGGGGACAGAGGCCAACATTCAAATCGCTCAACCCTATGGCTCTCAGATACAGTAAGTCTATATCACCCACCTTTCATTTCATATACAACAACACTCTCATACATCACAGAATCAATCATAATACACCCACAATTGTTCGTTTCATTGAAACCCAATCAACACCACCAACCAACTCAAATTTCACTGAGAAACAAGCTCTCACCATCGCTTACCTCACAAATTCATGTGGTTTGTCTTTAGAATCTGCTATCTCAGCTTCTAAGAGGGTCAACATTAAGAGCACAGAGAAACCGGACTCGGTTCTTGAGCTCCTAAGATCGCATGGATTCGCTAAAAATCACATTTCACGCCTATTTTCCACATACCCAACTTTAATTTTGGCTGATCCAGAGAGAACTTTGAGACCCAAAATTGAGTATTTTGAATCTTTGGGTGTCGTCGGACCTGACTTGCCTAAGATTATATGTTCAAGTAACGTGTTACAGAATAGTTTGGAACACCAAATCATTCCCACATGTGATTTCCTTAAACGATACATAAGGACCGACGAGAATTTAATTTATGTTCTTAAGCGATGTAGCCGTGTGGTTATGTTAAATGTTGAAAAAGTTTTGGTGCCGAAAATCCACACCTTGCGGGCTCATGGTGTGCCTGAATCCCATATTGGGAAATTGATCATGTTGCAGCCTGGAACACTAGGTGCGAGACTTGATGTGTTTAAAGAGGTTACTGATGCAGTTACGGAAATGGGGTTTGATCCCAAAACTCGATCATACTTGGTGGCTGTCAGTTCAATGTCGGCAATTAGCAAACTCAATTGGGAAAAGAAGAAGGAAGCTTATATGAGCTTTGGTTGGTCCGAAAGCGAATTTAACTCCGCGTTCAAATTGCAACCGATGTGTGTGCTCTCCTCGGAGAAGAAGATCAGGAAACTGATGGATTTCTTCTTGAACAAGGCGGGGTTAAGAGCATCAGAGACTGTCAAATGCCCAACTCTTTTTCTAACTAGTTTGGAAAGGAGAATCATTCCAAGATGTTCGGTTCTGCAAGTTCTGATGTCAAGGGGTTTGATTGGGAAGGATGATGTAGATGTGGTTTGGGTGTTAGGTTCTGGAAGAAAGTGTTTTGAGACCAGGTTTCTGACCAAGTATAAGGATGTAGCTCCTGAGGTAATCAAAGCGTACGAGGGTGAGATAGGATTTCAAGGTTTCGATACTAAATTGTAGGACATTGTGTAATCAGAGAAGTGAGCAACTACTTTAGATATGCTGCCAACGCCACAAGGCTAACAATACGGTGTATATCGGCTTCTATCAAAATGATTTGGCTGCATATAATGTCTGCCATCTAAGAAGTAATCCTCTAATCACTTCAATGAGATTTTTTGGTTGTCTTCTATATTATGAAGGTCGTGTCGACTTTGTCACATCTTGAAAAATTTTAGAATTTTGTTTCTTACCCGTAATGTTATGAAAGATGCTCTAATTTTTAAAATTTTGACAACTAGCAGATTCATGTGTGTATTTATATACGGAGAAGTATTTACACTGATTTAGTGGATTCCCTTGTTTTACCAGTAACAGGACTTGTTACTTATGAAAAGGCTAGTGGTCATTTACTTATGTGTTTGATTTCATTATGTCTAATTAGTCCTATGTTCCTTAACCTGTGTCTATTCATTCATATACTATGTAAATCCTTTATCTCTAGATTTATTGTTACGGAATCCGAGGTGTCCTAACCTGAACCTGTGTGTGTTCATATATTATGCAAAATGTGTTTCTCTGGATTTAATTTTCATGTATGCGAGATCTATTAATATGCAACTCTTCTATAGAAGAAGAGCTTAGGGCTCACATTTTCTGATTAGTATATTTTGAAGTTACATGCTGCATGCTACCGACGAGAAATAGCTTAATTGAGCATGGGATATTTGAACTTAGGAGAAATGGAAAACAGTCTCATGGATCATTTAGGATTTGGTTTCAAGGAAGTCAAGTCATTCTTGACTTGAGAATTGACTTGTACTTGTATGACATTGCTGCCTGTTTTCCCTTTCTCTCTTTTCCTAGGGTTAAACTTACAAATATTGTTAGTGAATGCTACACCCAAATCTACTTCTTATTCTTAAACGAGGAATAATTTTTTTCTTATTTGCCTCCTGATTTGAAGAATCTTTATTTGTCATGTTGATTGATTATTATTATGTAGTATTATTTTTAACACTGCACTCCCTCGGAATAGAACTTTATCTTGCATCATTCATTCTTCTCTATTTTTCATTCCTTCAATTTACTCTTCACTTTTACGTTTTCAGTATATACTTCCCCTAAGCATTCTCACGTTAATGGTGGTATAGTGGTAGATGAAGCGGCTAGCAATTTTTGAGCTTAGATAGGTTTTAGGTTGCGAGGGAGAGATGACATTTGGGAAATGCGGATATAAATTAGTACTTAATATATTTAAAATTTTCATTATTTATTTACTTAATTTTTCTCCTTTTACTGAATCACTGGTTAAGCGAGGTAGACTAATTGTAATAGGAGGTAATAGATGGAGAGGGTGACCAAAAATAATATGGGATAAGATTATTAAAAATGACTTTAAAAAGCTAAACATTGTATGTGAAATGGCATATAGTGTAAAGATTAAAAAGAGAATTCATGTGGCCGATCTTATTAATATGGAATTAATGCAGGAATGATGATAATGATGAGTATTTAAGATCTTGAATGAACTTGCCTAAATTTACGTTGTGATTTATGTTATTTTGGTTCTATTCTGTTAAGGTTGCCTGCTTGATTGCATTCACTTCTACTGGAGTAAAGCATTTTCTCCGAATGGTCAAAATTATGACTCAGTTATAAAAGCCATTATGAAGATGCAAGAGAACCTTCCAAGATCTCTGATTGAAGTCGTAGGATATGAATCCTCATGGCTGGCTCTCAATGACGATGCTTCCTGTTTCCCCTTCCTCTCTTTTCCTAGGGTTTAAATTACAATTATTGTTAAAGGAATTCTACACCCATATCTGCTTCTTCCAAGCTACTTTTTGCTTCTACATTATATTTTCCTGAGTGGAATTTGCAATTGAAGCACTTTCTACTGCTATTTTTGCTCGGTATATGATCAGAAAATATTAGATGTCCGAGACTTGGTGTAATACCCCGTAATTTTAAAGAATGTATTTAAATTAATTTTGTGTTAGGTTAATTAATTTTATTTATTTGTGCATACTACATTATTATATTATGTTCATTTAATTGTGCATGTAAAGTAATTGTGTATGTTAAAATAGTAAATTTATTCATTTAATTATGCATGTATTATTAATAATAATTTTATTTGTTGGTTATGCTTATATTAATCATTATTAGCTAATTAAAGTATTATATTTGTGTTATATAGTATTATGATGTTATAATGTATTCTTTTGTAATAATAATAATTATATTAGTTTAATAATAAAAAAAATAATAATAATAATAATATAATAATCATATAATAATAAAAAAAATTATTAATAATAATATTAGTAATAATAATAATAGTTATAATAAATCAATGTGATGATGGAAAATTAAATACTAGGATAGAATTTCATTTACTATGGTAGAATGGTGGATCAAATATCTTGATTAAAGATAGCATTGTCTTAAAGCCATATAGGTAGGAATATGAGAAATGGGTGAGAAGTTATTATAAATTAGATATTTGTAATATTTATATTATATATTTTGTGTATAAATTAACTAGCTTGCCTTAGAAAAAAATAAAGGGAGTTAGAAGCAAAGTATAAATTCTAGAGAGCTATTTTATAAGAGTGAAAGGAAAAGAGAAAGAGAAAGAAGTTTGGACCAGTGTAGGCAATTTTACCCGACTACGCGCAGACCGGCGGATTTATTTTAAATCCAAAAAGGCAAGTTATTATCTACTTTTCCCCTTTGAATTAATAAATTAATTGTTTAGCTTATTTTTATGCATAGAGCCAAGGTTTGGAGGTTAATAAATTATTAATTTTATTTTATTAAATTAATGGAATTTTAATTATATAGGATGGTATATATTTATTTAATGTCCTATGAAATTAATAATGGCTAAAAATAATTAAATAAGACTTTAGGGATTTTTCTAGAATTTTCTAGATTTTTCCGGGCATTTTCTGCAATTTCCGGCGACCTTCCGGCGAGTTTTCCGGTCGCCGGCAGTGGGGGAGACGACCGGAGTGATCCGGTGCGACGCGGCGCACCATAGGAGGGTGTACGCGCGCATCCTGGCCATTAATGGAGTCTGATTGATCCGGTGCATCGCGGTCCATGATACCGCGGTACACCCGGATCAGGGAACGTTGGATGGAGGAGATGCAGGTGGACTGATCCGGTGTGGCGCGCATGCAGGAAAGCTGATGCAGCCAACCAACCGGAGGACGCCACGTCAGCAAGGCACCCTTAGTGCGCGCGTGGCAGCGCGTGCGCGCGCGTGGGACTCTCCAGACGCGCGTGGGAGCGCGTGGCTGATGCCAGACGCGCGTGGAGGCGCGTGGGAGAGTGGGGAAGGTTGGGCTGCGCGTGGGGAGGCTCTGGGAGGCGCGTGAGGGCGCGTGTGGGGTCCCTATAGCTACTGGAAATTACCAGAATACCCATAGGACCTGTTTTGTAAATTCCAGAACCTTAAACTTGGATTTTTAGGTACTGTGTTGGTAATTACGGGTTTAACGGGCCACGAAATTATTATTTTAACACCCGTTACTTATTCTTATGGCCGATTAATCTTTTCTAAGCATTTATTGGCTCGTTCGCAGTACGGATACTAATGTGATTTATTTAACGACATTGTTAAATATAAATAGTGTTATTATCGTATTTAATGGTATCAAACATTACTGTTAAATTAAATAAGGCCATGGTTTTAGTCAGATAAATTATCCATGATATCTTATAGGATGTTTATACTGTTAATTAATATATAAACCATGATTATTATGCTGTGTGCATTTCAGGAAATAAATGAACTGTTTAATTATGTCGCATTTATATTATATGGATGTGTTGCCATATAGAACCATATGAGCTGGCTAATAAGTTTAGACTCATTTATACCTTATGCATTCGTTGCGATAGACAGATGTGTGGCTGTCGGGGTATGTGGTTTAATATTATTGGCATGTGTTGCCTAAATTGACATTCTCGGTATATTTATTAATATTATTGGCATGTGTTGCCTAAATTGACATACTCGGTATATTTATTAATATTGTTGGCATGTGTTGCCTAATTGATATGCTCAGTATATTCATCAGTACTTTGCGAGGTGTTATCACTGTGTAGTTCGTTATAGTCTGTGTTGTCAGTACCGTGCACCATGTATAATAGCTGATTTCCCGGGTAGGGAAAGGCGACACTTGACCACCTAGTGTGAGTCTAAGTGATCACCGTCTATTCTGGTTGAGGTCATGTTATACATTGGATAGTTCCCATAGGATGTATACAGATATAGTACTCATCCGATTCATAATGATTAATTTATTTGATTCTCTGATTTGGGTCATAGTAGAGAGGACTTGCTCGTGGGGTTGACCCACCATTGTTGTTATTTCAGGATACGGTCAGTATCCGTTTCAAGGCTGAGATTAGCAGTGTGGGACCATCATCCGAACTCATCTACTCCTACAATCCAGTGCAGGGTAGAAGTTTTATGTAGTATTTCAGTTTCAGTTTTCATTTACTTTTGACGTTGAACTCTCAGGGTTATGTTTAGGGATCCCTGACGTAGGATTTCCAAGTTGTAACGAAGTACTGTATTAAATAAAGGATGGATGGATGTTGTATTATTTAATGTTTCTTTCCTGTCTAAATTCTTTTATTTCCATCATTTTGTATTCCATGCTTGTATATTGCCAATTGTTTTTGATATCCCTCGTTTTTCGTGTATAAGCCTGATCAACTTATGCGTGGGAAATGTGGGGGTGTTACAGTTGGTATCAGAGCATTCCAGGTTCGAGTGTCTTAGGGATCTGTGATTACTATACTTCCGCGTTGTGTATTCTGATAATTAGAGCCTAAATATTAGGGTTCTTTGTATTCTTTTAGTCGGTCCATTATAATGTACTGACGTTAGATTTTTCTGAATTTAAAAGAAGGATGTCTCGGCGTGGGACAAGGAATGCGAACCGTCATCGCAGTATTTCCCCAACTCAAAATGAGAATCAGGAATTTTCTCCTCAAGTTGCTGATATCATTGCACGAGCGGTGGCAGCAGGAGTAGCATCTGCTCTACGAAACCAGCAACCTCCTCCGATAGTACCTGTTCCTGAACCAGTGGCACAGCCAATGTCATGGGACAAAGTTCGTCACTCGTTCATCCGGGGAAATCCACCGACATTTGCAGGGTCCACAGATGTCCTGTTAGCATATCAGTGGAAACAGGAGAGCGAGCGTCATCTTCGGATGGTAATCTGTACCGAAGTGCAGAAACAGATGCTGGCTACGTTTATGCTGATAGGCAATGCATTGCAGTGGTGGGAGTCTATTACTACTGTCGATGAGAGGACCAGATTGACGTATGCTGAATTTCAGACTCGCTTTGACGACAAGTATTTTCCTATGTCAGTAAGATCAGCGATGAAGACTGAATTTCTGGATCTGCAACAGGAAGATATGACTGTGGCTGAGTATGAACAGAAGTTCATTAATTTGTCATTATTCGCACCAGAGGAGGTCAATACGGAAGAAAAGAAGCGAGACCGCTTTGTGAAGGGGTTGATATGGCCGATTAAAGTGGTGATCATAGGTAGTCCTGCATATACTACTTATATCCAGGTGGTTAATGCCGCCTTACAGCACTGCCAGATGAGGAGTGATTACCGGAAGTCCAAGGGAGATAAGCGGACTAACCGAGACTACCAGACAGGGGAGAAAGGAAGCAGCAGTGGTGCCAAGTCCAATGATCGGGGCAGATTTCAAGGACATCAACCTTGGAAGAAAAACAAAGGAAACCTAGATGTGCAGAGGGATGGAGTCCCTAATCAGGGTAGACAAGGTGGGATACCTCAGACCGGACAGGAACAGTGGTCGGGAAATCAACAGAGAAGGCAGGCAGGTCCTTTTACGGGACGTTGTTATCACTGTAGAGAGATTGGGCATCCGGCCAAGATGTGTCCCAAAGCTAAGCAGGGACAGTATGGGCAGCCGAGACCAAATCAGCCGTTACCTCTACCGGCCCCACCGATGCCACGTGGGCAAGTTCAGAATTTTCCGGCACTTCCAGCACCACCATTTCCTCCGGGACAACCTCCACAGCAGTTGCATCATGGCAGAGTTTATAACTTCATGCCACATAATGCGCAGGCTCCTCAGGCTATTGAGGGTATGTTTTCTATACATGGTCGAACTGCTCGTATACTGTTTGACACTGGTGCATCACATTCTTTTGTGTCTAGATCTTTTGTTATCTTATCTGGTATAACGACTCAGTTATGTGACCAACCTCTTAATATTTATACACCATTGGGAGTTGGCGCAATTTTACGAGAGTATAGCGGTGATATCCTTATAGATATGGGCCGGCTTCGATTTCTTGCAAATTTGTTAGTGTTAGATATGCATTCGTATGATGTTATACTTGGGATGGACTGGTTATCTCAGTACCATGCTCAGGTTAACTGTTACGAAAAGTCTATTGTATTTTCCATACCAGGACAGGAGATGTATCTTCTTGTTGTACCACAACCTGATAGAGGGCCTAGCACTTATTTATTCGTTCTTGAGGAGGACTCACAGGAAGCGACTGCGGTATCTCTTGACAGCATCCCGGTAGTACAGGAATTCCAGGATGTATTCCAGGAAATTCCAGGCTTGCCACCGAGTCGAGAGATAGATTTCGTTATTGATTTAGCTCCAGGCACTACGTCTATTGCTAAGGCGCCGTACCGAATGGCACCAGTGGAGATGCGAGAGTTGAAAGATCAAATTCAACAGTTGCTCAGCCAGGGATTTATTCGCAGAAGTACTTCACCATGGGGAGCACCAGTACTGTTTGTAAAGAAGAAGGATGGATCTCTTCGTCTTTGTATTGATTACAGAGAACTGAACAAGGTCACTATTCGCAACAAGTTCCCGTTGCCCAGAATTGATGACC